GGGCGCCTGGGTGGCTCAGTCATTAAGCGTCTGCCTTCAGCTCAGGTCATGATCCCAGGGTCCTGGGATCAAGCCCTGCATCGGGCTCCCTGCTCTGTGGGAAGCCTGTTTCTCCCTCTCCCACTCCCCATGCTTGTGTTCCCTCTCTAACTGTGTCTCTCTCTCTGTCAAATAAATAAATAAAATTTAAAATAAATAAATAAATAAATAATAAAAAATAAAAAGATCTATTTGTTTTGAGGGGGAGGGGCAGAAAGAGACAGAGAGAATCCTCAAGCGGACTCCCTGCTGAGCATAGACCGCAATGAAGGGCATGAACCCAGGACCCCGAGATCATGACCTGAGCTGAAATCAAGAGTTGGCCACTTAACCAACTGAGCCACCCAGGCACCCTGAGAGAAACAAAACTATTAGATCATGAAAACAGAATCACTCAGTCATTCCACAAAGTACGGTAATGTCCATATCATAGGAGTCCCAGAAGAAGAAGAGCAGGAAAAAGGAGCAGAAGGTTTATTTGAACAAATTATAACTGAGAACTTCGCTAATCTGGGAGAGGAAACGGGCATTCAAGTCCAAGAGGCACAGAGGACTCTCCTCCAAATCAACAAAAATAGGTCAACACCAAGACATATCATAGTGAAACTTGCAAAATACAAAGAAAAAGAAAATTCTGAAAGCAGCTAAGGACAAAGGTCCTCAACCTACAAGGGTAAACAGATAAGGTTAGCAGCAAATCTGTCCACAGAAACTTGGCAGGCCAGAAAGGACTGGCATGGTACAATCAATGTGATAAATGGGTAAAATATGCAGCCAAGAATAGTATATCCAGGAATGCTGTCATTCAGAATAGAAGGAGAGATAGAGTTTCCAAAACAAGGAAAAACTAAAGGAGTTCATCACAAACATTACACCAACTCTGCAAGAAATACTAAAGGGGACCCTTTGAACAGGAAAGAGAGACCAAAACACCAAAGACTAGAAAGGAACAGAGACAATCCACAGGAACAGTGACTTTACAGGTAATACAATGGCACTAAATTCATATCTACCAATAACTACCCTTAATGTAAATGAACTAAATGCTCCAATCAAAAGACACAGGGTATCAGAATGGATAAAAAAATAAAACAAGACCTATCAATATGCTGCTTACAAGAGATTCATTTAAGACAATTGGTGTTGGGAAAACTGGACAGGGACATACAGAAGAATTAAACTGGACCATTTTCTTATACCATACATAAAAATAAACTCAAATGGATGAAAGACCTAAATGTAAAAGCGGAAACCATCAAAATCCTAGAGGAGAAAACAGGCAGCAACTTCTTTGACCTTGGCTGCAGCAACTTCTTACTAGACACATCTCCAGAGGCAAGGGAAACAAAAGCAAAAATGAACTATTGGGACCTCATCAAGATAAAAACTTCTGCACAGCAAAAGAAACAATCAACAAACCTAAAAGGCAACATATTAAATGGGAGAAGATATTTGCAAATAACATATTGGATAAAGGGCTAGTATCCAGAATCTTCATCAAAATCAACACCCAGAAAATAAATAATCCAGTTAAAAAATGGGCAGAAGACATGAACAGACATTTCTCCATGGAAAACATACAAATGGCCAATAGACACGTGAAAAAATGCTCAAATCACTCATCTTCAGTGAAATGCAAATCAAAACTGTAATGAGATACCACCTCACATCTGTCAGAATGGCTAAAATTAACAACATAGGAAACAACAGATGTTGGTGAGGATGTGGAGAAAGGAGAATGCTTTTGCACTGTTGGTGGGGATGCAAACTGGTGCAGCCACTCTGAAAAACAGTATGGAGGTTCCTCAAGACGTTAAAAATAGATCTACCTATGATCCAGCAATTGCACTACTAGGCATTTACCCAAAGGATACAAAAACACAGATTCAAAGGGGTACATGCTCCCTGATATTTACAGCAGCATTATCAACAACAGCTAAACCATGGAGAGAGCCTAGGTGTCCATCAAATGATGAATGGATAAAATAGAAGTGAGATAGGGCGCCTGGGTGGCTCAGTTGGTTAAGCGACTGCCTTCGGCTCAGGTCATGATCCTGGAGTCCCAGGATCGAGTCCCGCATCGGGCTCCCTGCTCAGCAGGGAGTCTGTTTCTCCCTCTGACTCGCCCCCCTCTCATGTGCTCTCTCTCTCTCTCTCTCATTCTCTCTCTCTCAAGTAAATAAATAAAATCTTTTAAAAAAAAAGAAGTGAGATATACATATGTATACATATATAATGGAATGTTACTCAGCACCAAAAAGAATGAAACTTTCCATTTGCAACAGTGTGAATGGAACTAGATTGTATTATGCTAAGCAAAATAAGTATAAGACAAATATCATATGATTTCACTCCTATGTAGAATTTAAGAAAAAAAAAAGAGATGAACCTAGGGAAAAAGAAGTAAAAATAAAATAAGATAAAAACAGAGAGGGAGGCCAACCATAAGAGACTCTTAACTATACAGAACAACTGAGGATTGATGGAGGGAGGTGGGTCGGGGATGGGCCAGATGGGGGATGGGCAATGAAGGAGGGCACTTGTTGGGATGAGCACTGGGTGTTACATGTAAATGATAAATCACCAAATTCTACTCCTGACACCAATACTACACTGTATGTTAACTAACTTGAATTTAAATTAAAAACAAACCAACAAATGATATTCCTTCTGGAAGAAAATTAAAGCAAACCCATTCTTTTACCACATATGTAAGTAAAATCCAGGACCAAATATAATAAATGTAAAACATAAAACAATAAAATTCCTACATGATATACAATCTAAGGAGATTTTCTTTACAATGGACAGAAACTCAGTGGCTATAGAAGAGGAGATAAACTTATTTGAAGGATAAATTTTAAAAATAAATAATTTTGTATGATGTAAGAACCTAACAGAGGAGCAAGAGATTTTGAAAATATCACAACAAAGAATTAACATTTAATATAAAAAACATAACATAATAAAATTCCTACAAATAGCTAGGGAAGAGATAAACTACCCTGTAGGAAACATCCTAAGGATATGGAAAGATAATTCATAGAAGATGTCATCCAAATGACATAAAATACATTTTTTAAAAATGTCCAACTGTAGTAGCACTAAGGGAAGTGTAAATTAAAGTTACTGTAATAGATCATCTTATACCCATGTAACTGGCAAACATTAAAGATGATCTTATTTCTTGTGGATAGAATGTAAAGGAAGTAAAATCTCATACATTTTGGGGGGGAAATCTGGCTTCTTACAACTCTATTGGCAATCTTTTAGAAAGCAATCTATCAACAACTCTTAAAATTAAGAATATTACACCCCTTTAGGTTGCCTGGGTGGTTGAGTCATTTAATCAACCCACTTCAGCTCAGGTCATGATCTCAGGGTCGCAGGATCGAGTCCCACATCAGTCTCCTTACTCAGCAGGGAGTCTGCTTGTCTCTCTGCCCATCCCCCCACTTATACGCTCGCTCTTTCTCTTTCTCTCTCTCAAATAATATTTTTTTTAAAAAAAAGAATATCATAGCCCTTCAAACAGCCACAGGAAGATTAATGTATAATAATGTTAATTGCAACACTGTTGATAATTGCAAACTGAAATGCCCATCATCTTGCGAATACTGGACAACTCACAGCACAGCCAACCATGATATATTATGTAGCAAATAAAAAGAATGAATGACAACTAAATCTTTGAATTCAGAGAAATTTCCAAACTCCAGTGTTAAATGAGAAAAGCAAAGTGCAGAAAACAGTGTATATTTCAATGATTATTATTCACATCCATGTGTATTTTGTGATTATATAAACATGAAGAAAATAGGAAGAATGTATTGTTAGCATGGGATGCCTGTGGTGCAGATGGAGCCTCAGGGTGATGTGATGGGAGAGGGAAGAAAAGGGGGAGAAGTTCAGCAAAAAGTATAAGGGGAAGCATATTATAACATGAATTTATGCAGTATGCGTGTGTGCGCAAGTACATGCACATGTGTCCATTTCAACCATCAAAAAAACAAAGGACTCTTTGAATAAATTATCAGAAAGTAATGGGCTCTCTAAATCATAGTAGTAACAGGGGGTAATGTATTCACTTCAGTTAAGTGACCTGACTTCAAATTTTGCCTTTGCCAGTTACTAGCTATACCACCTTAGACAAATTAAGTAACCCCCAGAGCCTCAGTTTCTTCATTTGTGAAATTTAACTAGAAATACAATCCATCATCTACTCTCACAGCATCATTACAAAGATTAAATTCTACAAGGCATATACAATTTTAGTAAATTGTGAAATTTGCACTGCACAACCGTTGTTATCATTGTGTTAGAATTATATAAGTTACAGATTCCATCCTGATGTTTTCCTCAGCCACTAAAGATACCGCTAACTGGAAATTATCCAGTCTTACTTCAGAAGTAAGGTAATGAGGTCACCAAAATGAAAAATGAAAACGATAATCATAAACATATAATCAGGCAGGATTGTACTGTAAGCTTTTCCTACAACTACCACCATCACCATCATCACTTTCTCCCAAATTTTAGGTTAATGTAGGGCAGCCTGAACTTCTTCCTTCAGAAATGCAGGTCATGTGCAATTTGTATTTGACCTTGTTCATAAGAAAATGAAATATTGAACAGACATTATTTTTTTCTGATTCTACAGAATCAAAGGCAATCACTGGGGAGGGAGGCAGCACATGTCTGTAGACGTTCCCCCCAACGAACACTGGCACCATGCTGTGCTGCCAGGGGCAGCCAGCATCAGTGGGGTAGGGCGGGAGTCATAATGAAGAAGAGGCTGGGTGCGGCAGAGGAGTGGAAAGCCTCAGTCTGGAGACACTTTGGGGGACTGGCTAATCTAATGGAGGCAGGGATCCCAAGGCTCTGTGCGAACAGGGGGTGTTAAGAGTCATCAAACAAAGGATAGATGTTTTTGAAGTGATCCTTTTTGGACCTTTTTTTTTTTTTTTAATTAATCTCACTATTTTTATTGTTCGGCTTGTACCTTAACTATGGCGTAACGGATTTGCTACTTCAAAAGCTGGTAGAGCCAGTAACCCCAGTATTATTTGCAGATCGTTTGAGGTACTTTTTATACTTGAAAGCATTTTCTTGTATTCTACCGTTTGCTCTGAAAACAGGGGCTCTGGGTGGCCAAGGAAAATACATTTTGTCTCATCATTCAGGAAAACTTTGGGGCATGCGTGCAGCAGTGTAGACAGGACGAAATGCAGGCCAGACAGTTCCAACTCAAAGCCTAGCCCCTCTAAAAGAGCACTTGGCGGTTCCTCCTCAGAGATCCCCATTTCTGATAGCTTCTGAGAGCACAGTAGTCCTGACGCCCAAGGCTCTCCTGGGCGGCACCATCCTCCATGGCTGTCAGTGGCCCTGGGCCCTCCTCCCAGCCAGTGCCTCACCAGAGCATCCCCCACTCCGCAGGACACCCCAGCAAAACGCTCTTCTGCAAGAGCACAGAACACATGCACAGTCTTGCTCTGACCCACCACATTGCCTCGAGTGACTTGGAGAAATACAGGTCATATTATGCAATAGTTGTACATTTTTTTTCTTCTAAGACCAAATCTAAATGTGGTTAAGCCATCATTTCATAGACTTCTAAATTTTGGGGGCAAAAGAGTTTTGAGGCACTCAGCATATTTTTCCACTTGGAAGCAAAAAAACAGTAGACTGACTTACATAGTGCCAGTGGTAATATTTATAGTTAATGAAAGAATCAGCTCTCATTTTTTAAAGCTATTTTTCCAGGATGACAAAAAAAATTATTGCTAATATATTATCTTGCTTTAGACTACATTTTCCCCCTGTCAGTGACAATGAGAGTGTACTGTTTTTTATATGGAGCAGGTTTAAAAAGATGTTTTCCATATTCTTAATTAAATTTGGTGATTATATAATCATCTCTCCTCTAAGGAAGACCAATGGCGCTATATTTTTTTCCCACTCTCTTGAACTAAACTCCTACAATCAAACAGGGAGGAGGCAGGGCAAAAGTGTATATTCATTTATAAGTAAAATAAATTGAACCTTGACTTATTAGGAAATGCAATTTGAGAAGAGAAAAATTACTTGCTTCATATAATGCCTTGGCATTTCTCATTCTTGCATAAATCTGTTCCTTTTAAACTCTTAGCTTTTAGGCCTTGGCTGCTCTCATTCTATTTAGGAAAATTGTCTTCAATTACATGACCCCAAACAAGGCACTGGGCTCTTTACAAATCCATTTCTAATGTGTCAATCTTTATGCCGCACCTTAAGGACTCTTATAGCTAAGACTGAATAGAACTGCATAATGGCAGAGAATTATTATTCCCAGTATCTTAGACACCGAACGAATAGTGAAGCAAAACAGAATTCTCATGCTATGTAAAACTGCTCCTGAGAAGCTAAAGCACAAGATTTTCCAGATCTCAAATATCAGCCCAGTTTTTCCAATGCCATAATCTCTGTTACATTAGGGACTTATAATATAGGCTATAAACATATTTTTGACATTTATTCAACACAAATTTACTAAACACCTACTATGTGCTAGACACTGATCCATGTATGGTATTAGAACATGAGCAAGGTATATGGAATTGTTAGTGATTTTATGTAACTTGATGTTACTTTTTATTGATTCTATTTCTATTTGTAGATACCAGAAGGAAATAACAGCATATGGCAGAGTTTATTACTTTTTAAATGAGACAAGGTACTAGTTTTTATGACTTCAACACATGCTAAAAAGAAATAGTAAATATAGAATAAAATTCAGTATTTAGCTGACATTATATGCTGTTCAGTTATTAGCTTCTACTTCTCCTTATTGGACCCCATGTTAAACTAAGAGGAAAAAAGGAGGATTGAAAGAAGCATACACACCCTTTGCTCTTTCCTGATCCAACTGTAATTCAAAGGCTCAAGTTATAGGCCCCAAATGTTGTTTCCAAAGGCAGAAAGCAATTAATTGAGGAAAGCAGCCTTCTTGGAGTTAGGTAATTATATATATATATATATATATATATATATATATATATATATATATATTACTATACACACTATCTTATCCTTTCAATGAAAAATAAAATTCTAGGTTTTCTTGGAATGTATTCCTACTGAAAAATTAAAATGTGGACATAGATACATATGTAAAAAGATGTACCTTGCATCAGTGTTTTTAACAGTGTAAACTACAAGCACCCTCAAAGTCAGGGGTCAGATTAACAAATTTTGGTGTAATCAATTGTAAAATACTATGCAGAATTAAAATCATGCTACATTTGTATTACGGTAGGTTGTATTAATGACCAGTTTTTCACATCTCTTTGTACTCACATCCCCACACTGATTCTAAGCTTGACCTCCTACTGTCAATAGGACAGTACCAAAACGTGATGCAAACAGAAGCTTGACAAAACTCTTGTGTGCTCCTTCATCAATTCTTGGATCCCTGCCTCCATGATTATAACATGCCTGAGCTAGCCGTGAAGAATATGATACGTTAAGATATGAGGTAATTATAGTAAAGTGGGGGAATTTAGCAAGGTCTGTTTATTCAGATTCTCTGGGCATCCCTTTGACTTCTGAGATAAGGATGCTCCTTTTCTCTGGGTACAGGGAGGGGACTTCTCACATGGGGTTTTGTGACCTGTGTTTAGGGAGAAGAAGGTGTGGAAGGTCTGCTCTGGGGTTTTGTGACCTGTGTTTAGGGAGAAGAAAGTGTGGAAGGTCTGCTCTGGGGTTTTCTCAAACTCCTTGAGCTCAAAATATTCAATATGCCAAGGTGCCATGTTTTGGAGTAGCATGTCCTGAACCTCATCAGATTCCTTCCCCCACCATATGAACAAATGAAATATTACTTAAACATCTTTGAGATCCACCAATAAAGCACACAAGCCAGACAATAACCCATGTGAGAAGATTTTATTATCAGAAATTATTTTTCTGCCCCTAAATATCATCTCTTCTCACTTATAATGGATCACTGAAATTTTGCATTAGAGAATCATTTAATTGGTTTAAAGAACACTCTTTTTAAAAAACCTAAAATCCCCAAGAGGAAGTAAAACCTTAACATATGAATAATGAATCTTTCCTTCACTAGCTATGTAATCATGACCACCATAGACAACTTACTTTGCAGATTTGTGGGAATCACATTAAGATACTGCATATGGTAATGTCTAGCACAAACCCTGACTGATAGCAAGAGAGGAATAAACATCCTGTTGATCATTCTGACAAATCTAGTCATGTTACAGTAGATTCCTAAAGTCTTTATGACTCTGAAACAAAAAGCAAACAGCTCACCAGAGGTATGTGTATCTAAAACATCACTACCAGATGGGGCTGGAAGACAAATTCCTATTGAAGTCCTGTCATCTCCCAGGCCCCAACAATTCAAAGTTAAATAAAAATAGGGGTGTCTGGGTGGCTCAGTTGGCTAGACGTCTGCCTTTGGCTCAAGTCATGATCCCAGGGTCCTGGGATCAAGCCCCACATCAGTCTCCCTGCTCAGTGGGGAGTCTGCTTCTCCCTCACCCTCACCCTCTGCTCCTCCTCACCACTCATGCTCTCTCTCTCAAATAAATAAATAAAATCTTTAAAAAAAGTTAAATAAAATAAAAGCAAATCTCTCCCCCAAATTCACTATCTAGGTGAGAAAAAAAAGGTTAAGAAAGCAAAGTCATTAAACAATGTATTAAATTTAATAACTCAGCTATATACAGGGTGCTATGAAATTACTCAACACAACAAAGCCAGATTTCTAGACTAGGACTATCTAATATAGTAGCAACCAGCCACACCTGGCTAGTGTGACAACCTGAATTTTTAATTTTTTTTATTAATTTAAATTTAAATAGCTACATGTGGCTAGTTGCCACCATACTGAAGAGTGCAAATTTAAACCTGTACATCACTACAGAAATTTCTATTGGACAGTGCTGCTCTGGACTAAGGGTTAGCAAATTTTATCTCTAAAAAAAATCAAATAGTAAGTATTTTAGGCTTTGTGGGTCATACAGTCTCTGTCTCAATTACTCAACTCTGCTACTATAGTTCAAAAGCAGCCATAGATAATCCATAAACAATAAACAAGTAAGTGTAATAGATTCCAATAAAACTTTATTTATGGACACTGAAATTTGATTTTCATGTAATTTTTACATGTTACCCTATTATTCTTTGGATTTTTAAAAATCATTCCTAGCATCAGGCCATAAAGAAAACAGACAGTGGGCCTGATGTGTCTTGCAATTCATCCAATCCCTGCTCTCAACAGTCAAGGAATGCATCCCAGAGGGCTTTCATTTCCTTGAAACTTGAGGAACTAGAACTCACCAGGGCAATAATGGTCTGGAGAAAAATGAGGAAGAGAGGAAGGTGGGAAAGGAGAAGGAGATGAAAGAGGAAGAGAAGGAGGAGGAAGAAGAAACACAGAGAGATGTGGTTGAGGGAATATAACACACTCAGGGAAAGACAAGTAAAACTGGTAGGTAAGACATGAGTTTGAGAGTGGCTGGAGTTGTGCGAAGCAGAGACAGGAAGTGGTATATCATTGCACTGGCCCCTCTTCAACAAGAGTTTGAGTTCAGCTAAATAGTCAAACCCACAGGACTGCAGTAGGCTATACTTGATGTAAGATTAACTTAGAAGGACAGGGACAAGCCAGGAAGGGAGCTTCAGGCATGGTTCCTCAGTTGTTCTCACAGAGGTACAGTTTAGGCTTCTTTGGCCCCCCCACCCCAACCAACACTCAGGTGCTAAAGGAATGAGCTCTGATTGGAGGATGTGGGCACCACATCAGTAGCCCATGACCCACACAGAAACAACTCTCTCGTAAGAGTCCTATAGACATAGCTTCCAGGGACCGAAAGAGGTATGTCCAGTTACATGCATCCCCACAGTCATGAAGCCCAGAGCCATGGTCTCCTGCTCAAACTTCTTCTAGACCAGACACAGTATAGCAACGATTTTACCATTAGAAATATTGTCCAGTAACATAGCGGACATTACACCTTTCTCAAGTTTCTGGCGGAAAAAAAGTACTCTGTTCACGATAAAGTTCCCTTGTAAAACAGAAAACAGTTTTGTTAACTCGTTACTCTCAGCCAAAGACTAAAGAACTTCGTCTTTATCTTATGGGCAACAGAAATGAATCAAACCAAACGTACACTTTAGGTAGCAATGTGGAGGACAGACTGAAGAGGAAAGGGAGGCTTGGGTTTTGAGAAACCAATAAAGAAGCGGTTGTCATAATCCCTAGGATCATAAGTTAAGGCAGAAATAATAGAAAATTGAAAGGACTTGGTGACTAATTCAGGAGAGGAGGTGAAAAAGAGGCCTATGTCAAAAGTAACTCTCACATTTCTGACTTTCATGACTTTCAGTCACTAAAACAGAAAATATGGAGAAAGGAATCCTGCCAAAAGTTGTCCTTATAAGAGAAAATAGCAATTCAGCACCATTTACAAAAGAAAAACACAAAGCCATCTTGATTTATATATCTTATGTGATATCTTGACCTGGAAAGAATGCCTTATGGGGCGCCTGGGTGGTTCAGTCATTAAGCGTCTGCCTTCGGCTCAGGTCATGATCCCAGGGTCCTGGGATCGAGCCCCGCATCGGGCTCCCTGCTCAGCGGGAAGCCTGCTTCTCCCTCTCCCACTCCCGCTGCTTGTGTTCCCTCTCTCACTGTCTCTCTCTCTGACAAATAAATAAAATCTTAAAAAAAAATAAAATGAAGAATGCCTTAATTTTCAGCTTAGAGCTATCTAAAGATAGAGAGTAGTGCTACAAAATGCACTCACCTAAATCAGAGCATTTTATATTAGATCTACGGAAAAAGGATATTTTGATATTCAACTGCTTACTTACAGATCTCCATGAATCCAACTTATTTGATGTAATAGCTTAGAGGTCCCCGCATTACTAAGAGAACCACTGATTGATCTGATGCTGAAAAGAAGCCCATTCCCCTAGTTCTTAATTCATATGCTTGTATATACCCCAAATCTTGGCATTTTTCCTATATAACACATATGTTTTGCACTTGAAACATATATATATATATATATATATATACATATATATATATATGTTTATAATAAGAGATAAGCTTGTCACTGCCTTAAAGAGGCAATGAAAAGTTTATTTTAAAAACGGGAGATATTCTCCTTCTAGACCACAGTTGCTTGGATTAGTACTTTCCAACCAGTTTCCCATCCATGAAATACATACAACACGGTCCTGTTTGCAAGGACTACTAGAGTAAATGGAAAAAACAACATTCCATTTCCAATCTGGCAACCTCACTACCTGTCGGTTTGGGAGCTCTGCACTAGATTATATAATTTTCACTTTCTAATGTCTCCCCCTAGCTCCCACTGCATTTGCGTTCCAAAGCCAATCACGCAACCTTTTGAGGAAGGGTTACTTAAGGCCTGGTACTAAACCCATACCTTTTCTGTGATTGTTCCATGTGTAATACACTCTATACCCTGAATAGCAGAAAGACAAAAGAGTAGAGTTGATTTAAAAAAAACAGAAAGTCTTCTTTCAGTTAATCCTTCACAGGAATCAAATAAGCTTTCATAGATTCTAGGAAGATGCACAGAATAATTCTTTCCTTCAGGGAGGTCATCTATTATTATTCACAGGGTCTACCTGGAATGGGTTCTCTGTGCTATTTAACTTGTCCCAACAGAACCTTAAAAGTCCAAGGAAGATTCCTACACTTTTTCTCAGGGTCATTCAGAAAAATGTCACCTTTATCATGCAGTTAATATTACAATGGAAAGAAAGTACAGCCCATAACATCCCCCAAAGTCCTTTTGACAGTTTATATATTACAATATTTGAGTCTGCACAGATATGTATAGCAATCTCTCACCACAGGCTCATTCCACACTGAAATCCATAAATCGCCCCATTCAGTTCAACCTATCTGCTTCTCACAAACCCGACAGGCCTTCATTTTGAACTGTAAATATTTCCAAAAATTTCTCTTTTTCCGTCCTCTGTGATAAGGATGTTTCTATGTCCTAAAAGCAGTTGTTCACTCAGCTTCTTTTCCTCCCTTGTCTGTTTCTATCAAACTTGCTTTGTCATTATTTTCTTTTGGTGATTGTTGCGATATCCTAAAGAATGCAGAGAATGAGAGCGAAAAAAGTAGGAAAAAAGATTGGAAGAATTCAAAAGATTCACTAATTTCAATATATAATAATGTTTTTTTAAATCTGGGCGAGAAGGGAAATCTAGACAAAGATCTACATTGGGGTTCCTGTGTATGTCATTCCTGGGGAGTTGTTGGTGGGGTTGCATACTGGCACAATCACAGCCCCTTCTCACGAACCTCAAGGCTTCCTGAGGCTTTAATCTTCCTTGGAACCTTGGTATTTCTATTTCTACCTTGCAATGGAGGATGTCTGCCCATATTAGCAGCTCTCTCTGCTGAGTAGCAAACAGTCATGAGCTAAGGGCTCCTCACTGCAGGTGGGAGTCTCTGGACCACCAGGCAATGAATGGACACTGTAAGAACACTTCTGCATAATTCTGCCCAAACAGATAAATTAGAGGGCTAATGATAAATTTTAAACCTCATGAAATCCCCTTTCTCTATTAGAAGCAAACTGGACTATTACTATTAACCATGTTTCTAACCTCTGTAAACTTGATGCTTTAACATCTGCCCTCCATGAATATGTTGGATGTGCCTTGTTCTGGACAACCTGACAATATACCTGAGTCACCTTGCCTTGGCTTCCTGCTTCCCTCAGAATCCCCTCCCACTTCTCATCCCTGTCCTTAGAAGCAGACCTCCCAGGGGGTGACTTTCCAAATAAAAACCAACCAATCCAGAGTCCGCACTCCCACCCACCTTCCTTATTGAATTCTCACACTCCAGGCCACCGTGATTACCCCAAGGCCAGGTACCAGGCACCTAGGGACAGCCGCTATGCCCCAGAACCTGATAAAATTGTTCAGACTAACCAATCCTAAACCTGCTTACTCCACTCATCCATTGCTTCCTGTAGAAGCCTCGAAACAAAGGCTCTTGCTCACAGATCCTCTCCTCCCAGTGTAGCCCCATGACATGGCATCCTCCCTCCTCTTGGGAATTGTGGACAATAAACTTCTTAATGACAATTGTTTCCAGAACTGTTAGCCTTACTAAACCTCAAACTTTCTATTAATACAGTATATTTTAGGACCACTGCTCTCACTATAATACAACACTGAGAAGAGACTAATCCCGGTGACTGGGAGGGAAACGTAAACCAGGCATTAAAGCTAAAATGTCCCTCTCTAATATCTCCTGTCTGGAAGGGAAGGTTGTCAGGGAACAATTTGTCTCCTGAGTGTCTTTGCAACATTACTTCTTCCTTCTGGAGGGCAGAGTAGTGTATCAAGAGTCAAACCTCTGGTCCTACAAGCCCAGACTGTCTCCAATGCTTCCCTAATTTATTTGGCTATCTAGTTGACTATATGTATGAGTAAAATAATGGTTCCAAATTCATGGTCTGTATAAGAATTGAAGAAGTAACCACTGTGAGGAGCACCTGGATAGCTCAATCGGTTAAGCATCCAATTCCTTTTTATTTTATTTATTTATTTGAGAGAGAGAGAACACAAGTAGGGGGAAGTTCAGAGGGAGAGGGAGAAGCAGACTCCCCACTGAGCAAGGAGCCCAATGCAGGACTTGATCCCAGGACCCTGGGATCATGACCTGAGCAGGAAGCAGATGCTTAACCAACTGAGCCACCAGGCACCCCAAGCAGCCCACTCTTGATTTCAGCTCAGGTTATAATCTCAAGGTCATGAGATCAAGCTCCATATCAGGCACCATTCTCAGCACGAAGCCTGTTTAAGATTCTTTCTCTCCCTCTCACTCGGCTCCTCTTCATCCCCACCCCCTACTCCCCACCTCCCCATCTCCCCCACCCCTGCTTGCACTTGTACACACGCATGTGCACACTCTCTTTCATTCTCTCTCTCTCAAAACAAAAAAGAAGAAAAAAGGAAGTAACCACTGTGGAATTCCTGTTACAGTGCTCAACACATAGCAAACATATTCAATAAATGGTAACTATTACTACTGATATTATTAATATCATTATAATTATTTTTTACTTTTGTTTAATGTCTCACTTCCTGCTGAAATGGTAGCTAAGATGTAGTACTCAATAAATGGTAAATATTACTGGTCCTATTAATATCACCATAACTAATTGTTAAAAATTTTTATTTAATGTCTCCCCTGTTGCTGAAATGGTTAAAGATCCAACCAGGCCCCAAATTTCTGAATTATTTCAAAAATTTTAAAAATAAATGAATCATTAATCAAAAAAACACAAGATTTGTCATTTCATCACTCACAAAACTTCTGATTTGTTTTCGTAATAACCAGCCCACTTTTCATGTTATAGCCAATATAACTTATAAAGTCTTCATTCTGAAAGGGGGAGAAATCATAATGATTGTGACAAGGCAAGAAACCATCAAGCATTCAGTATTAAAAAGACAAAAACATAGCTATGAAATCCTCTAAAACATAATAAATAAAATAAATTAATTAATTACAATTAAAATTAAAAAATAAAATAAAATAAAGAAATCCTCTAAAAAATATTTAAACATCAATAAATCTTAATTAAAAATATCACAGCCTATAGAACCTAGGTATACATAGTTTTGGTGCAATGTATAATAGTTTCCATGCTGTGCTGGTTAATTTTATGTGTCAACTTGACTGAATGATGAGGCACCCAAATAGTTCATAAAAGATTCTTGGTGTTTCCATGAGGGGGTTTTGGATGAGATTAACATGTAAATTGGTAGACTGAGTAAAGCACATTGACCTCATCCAGTCAAGCGAAGGACTGAGTAGAACAAAAATACTAAAACAGGCCTGCCCCTACCCAGAGTAACACAGAATTCCTCCTAAGTGCTTTCCAAATGGGACATCTGCTTTTTCCTGCATTTGAACTCAAACTGAAACATCAGATCTCCTGGGGCTCCAGGTTGCTGATTCACCCTGCGGATCTTGAGACATGTTGGCTTCCAAAATTATGTTAGTTAACACCTTAAAATAATTAAATAAGAAGATAGATAGATATAAATCCTATTGGTTTTGTTTCTCTGGAAAATCTTGATTAATACATGTGCACCAAAGCATGTAATAATAATGAGAAGAAATAACCACAGGAGGCTAACTATGTGCCAGACACTGTTCTAAGTTCTTTCTAGAAGTTTCCTCATTCTTTACAAACAATCTGATGCACTGGATATTACTGATATTTTCAGTAGGAAAAACAGTGGCACAGAGAGGTAAAATAACAGCTTATATCAGTTTATACAACCAGAATTTGAACCTATGCACTGTGGCTCCAGAATTTGTAATTCTAACCACAATGATGTCCTGCCTCTAATACTGAACAAAATACTGAGGGTGAGGCATGAAGCAGACCATCACCGGAAATCCAGTTCCATTGTGAACAATTCTATGTGACTTCAGCCCCATATTCTTGTCTTTTAAAAATGACTGGTAGGAATTTTGTAAAAATTAAATATTCAATTCATAATATGAACGCCTACCATATTTTCCTAACACATGACTAGTGCTCAATGATTGTTACTTCTTAGTCCCACTGTGAACAAAATCTTCTTGATTCTATTTTCATAAACATAGACTATAGCAACCCATGAGTATTTCTCCTCACTAGAAAGCAATACACTAAGTTCTTTCATCCTTTGCTCTTTTGATGATATATCTCCCATACGCTTTCAAAATTAGCAGTAAACATAAAAGCAACTCAGTTTTAATACCCACATTTCTATTAAGTTACACCACACTTGCCATGTTGTAGAACAAATTTTCATAATTTC